AATATGTGAATACCTTCTCCTCCTTCCGTTTCCGTTCATTCTCTTTTGCCTGTTCTTTCAGCTGCATTATATGTTCATCAAATATCTCCCTTAGGAAGCTCTCTTCTCCGGTAGAACTAGATGATGCATTAAAAATATGTCATTATATGCTAAAGTTCCAGGAAAAACAAATTAATTTATTGAAGTCCAAGAAATTTAGAAGAAAAAATTAGTAAATTAAGAAATTTCTTTAAAAACTATATATATTTTCTTACCAAAAGAACTACATAAGAAATAAATAATACATATTTCTACAAACTTCCCAATTACAGCTATAACCTCTCTATAACTGAGCACAAAATACCAAACTTCTATTTACGTGGTTAGGACACATTTAGAGCATCCATTAGAAAACCTTAAACCAACAAGAATTAAGCACCAATGGAGACACAAAACCATCCATACATGAACAATAATAGCAATCCTAAAACAGTTTACAACATAAATCAAACGTAAACTATTATACCAACAAGCAATACCTGCATTCCTGACTACCTTCAACAAGATGTTTGCAATCTTCCCATGTTGAGGATGCAGTTATTTCCTGCAACAACGACAACAAGAATATAGATGGAAAAACTACAATCTTTAGTATTTCAACAGTTATAGAGTCAAGAATAAGAAAACACCAAATCAACATGTTTATATACCTTGAAAGAACGTAGTAGGCTAAGCATGTCATCTGCAAGACGTTTGCGCTTCTTTGCTTCTTTCTCCTCTTTCTCCTTAGCCCTTGCCAGCAAGTCATCAAATACTAACTGAAATGGAAGTTCGAATCAAACCATTAATGCACATATATATGCACTCCAAATAGTTGCTGAGTAATAGATGGAGATCTACCATTTACCAACTCAAATTACTTCCGTTCAGCTTAAATCATTCCTGTCCTTTTTCCTTCTTTTTTTGGAATGGAAATCTTTCTTGTCTGTTAATAAGCAAAAAATCATATGCATAGGGTACCAGGGGTGTCTAGGTGCCTAATGCCCAAGTACCCGCAGAGGAGAGGGATGTCTTTTAGTTACAAAGTGGCCTGAGTACAAGACAAAGTCCAAAAGCTCTACAAGCCATTGAAAAAACTCATGGTACTTGAGCTATCTCATGCAATTCCTAAAATCATAAACCTAAAAAAAGAATCAAAAGCTAATACAGGATGTTAACAAAAATCAAACAAAATAATAGTATCAACACAAAATAAACATTCCGGTCTGCTGGGGCATCAGCTCGAAGTTAACAGAAAAGCATAAGAAGGCCCTTTGTTGTTTTAGGATGCAAAAGATTGAATGCCAATCCTGGGTTGTTGGTCACCTATTCATAAAAATCATATGGTAGGCCTCAAGGCAGTAAAATGGTTAACTGCCTGCATGACTCAAGAGAATTGGCACAGAGCACTCGAATTCCAAAATACAGCTAATGTAGACAATTAGCCATTTCACATATTTAATCCCTTAGAATCACCTTAGAATTTCCCCTATCAGAAAATTAAAATAGTAGGAACATGTTCATACTCTTAAGTTAACATCTGATATAGGTGGAGAGCTAATATCCTCCAAAATATATATCTTTAAGTCTTCCAAAGTCCAGGTTGCTGACAAAGTAACCTGCAAATATACCAGATTGTAGGTGACTACAAAACCAAGCTATACTGCGCAAGTGGAGAAAAAGAAATGCAATACCTTTCTTAACTTAATTGCATCTTTAATTCGGGATTTGTCCTCATGATACTGCAGAATAAAATATAAAATATATTCATATAATGCAATTAACATATTTGTACTGGATTATATAATCAAGAAAATGACAGCAAATATTTTCATGGATCTTGTAGGGTGAGTTAAATGAGACCTCAAGGAATTTAACCAATTACAGCTACTTAAACCTCTCGCTAACACCTATAACACCATGCTGCAAACCACCTAGTAAGTGAGACCATGCATATCTACGATCTAGAAACATCAATAATGTGCACCACACAGCATCATCCTTTCTCACATAATCAAAACAACTTTGCTTATCAATCTTCCCATCAGCTATATTTCCCCTCTTCTCTATTAGTCAAGTAATAAAAACATCAGTATGCTCTGAACTTTTTGATCAATATATATATTTGTTTAATAAACAGAACAGTGCCTGAGATTTAGTAATTTTCAACTCATGGGCCCAAGTATTCTTGAAGATACATGACAACACATCCAACATTAAATGCAGGATTCAAGTCACCTGTTTCTCAAGCTCCTCTGCAACATCTTCAAATAAATCTTTTGGGGTTGCACCAGAAGTGTTTGATGCAACTGCCATATATGCAGGTAACTCTTTAACCTGGAAGATGAAGTCAATAAATGAGGAAAACCGTAACAAGCAAGATACAACCAAACAGCTACTACATCAGTGACTTGGTAACAGTATCATTAGCAGTTCCCAAGAGAAAAATGAAATATGATTCCAAACCTTCATGCAATAATCACGCCAATGAGTTTTTGCTGTAAGAGTTCCAGCAATAACATGTCCTTCCATCAACTTGCGGAACTCATCTCGATTCTTACGCTCTGCCTTTCTCAGCTCTTCCTATTTAAGAGAAGAGAGGGAATTAAGAAGAAATACTGGGTGACTAGATATCAAATGCATCTACAGAGGCATGGATGTATAATGCAAATGCAGACAAATCAATATCAAGTGTAGCCACAGAAGCATGTAGCAAAAGCACCTTCTCTAGTTTTCTCTGCTCTTCCTCTTCCCTCTCCAAATCATGTAGATATTCCTGTTATGACATCCCAAAATTAGCTCAGATGGAAATTAACAACTCTAATGAACAAAAGAAGATTTTACCTGGAAGATCTCCAGGCGGTCCATTTTCTCAAGACGTAAACATCTCTCATCAGCCTCTACCCGATCCTGAACTTTTCGCCACTGACTATTTGCCTGAAGAGGGCAGGTAATACATAATAAGACTTCAATAACAGTAAGTAGCCTGCAAAAACCAAATCATTTTTTCACCTTAATAAAATCACAAGATTCCAAGTATTTCCTGTACTCCATTATGTTCTGCTTCCGCTCCTCCTGTGCTTTCACCCGTTCCTAGCAAAACTCAACAGTAAAAGAAAGAGTCACAAGAATTTCAAACTCACACCCCATAAATTTCAATAGTGGACATACAATACACTGGTTTAGCCTTATATTGATATGGTGGTAGAATCTGGGAGCAAATAGAAAGGACAATGCAGTAGTCATTTACTATGTATTATCAGCATCTTAAAGACAATGCCAAAAAAACATGCAGGACTTTTTTAAGATTTCTACATGTACTCAATGAGCAAAAACTAAAAATTTTCTAGTTAATAATGCACAGGCTCTCCAACCCAAAGCTAATATTTGAGAAGAAAAGATGTCATGCACTTGTTTATCAGCTCCACACCCAAAACATGTAGATGAAGACCAGATGCAAGTATTGACTTGAAGCCAGAAATAAAAAGATACAGAGAAAGAAAGCATCAGTACAAGGGGGCAGAAAGATAACAATACATCCATATATGGACAAATTGCCAGATTACAGAACAAGACCAAAAAAAAAAACGAACATGGACATATATATAAGTATTTGAGATCTGCACAAGACAGCTAGAAATAAATGTGAGCAAGTGAGCAGAAAATACCTTTTCTTTGAGTTCATCAATGAAGTTCTCAAATAGATCCCTGCGATCTCTTTCCCGTTCAACAGCTTTAAAACGTTCATCTTCTTCAAACATAGTCGCGACTTTACTGAATGATAGTTCAAATTTTCCCATCAGAAAAGACAATTTTATAACAAACATAGCAATGTTATGAGCAAATTTCCAGCAGATTATGCCCGAAGAGTTTAAACTTGATATTATATAGGAAAAGACAAACCTCCATCTCGTAGATGATGTCAACTCTGTAGACTCCTGTGAATCGAAGATCAAACTTAAATGAGAAAAGCAGTACATCAATGACACAGAAGAAGCACACATACAAATGCAGTTGGAAGCAGGAGCCACTTACTTCACATTTTTTTGTACTCTCTCTGCTTTTTTCTGTTGACCGCCTTCTCAGCTTCCAGTTTTTTCTTTTGACTCA